CTGAGACAGATGATAATTGTTTGTTACTAAAAGTAAGTAGGAGGTAGTACTGCGTTTGACTCATTGTTAATATAAAAATGATTAGTGTAGACATGCAAAGACAAAAATCTGGTGTTAATGATCTTAAATTTACCACAAAATACACATATGCTTTGATATTTTTTCAGTAAACATAGCAGAAACAAGTTCAGTCTGCACAGTTTTTTTTTTCTTAGATGTTATCGGCCTTTTTTTTCTCTTAATTTTTGAATGGGAATTTTTAAAATATATTTACCACTTACATGAGAGGCTCTGTGAACTCTGTGTTCACTCAGTTTGACATGCTCGTCCAACCAAAGTCATTTTATCAAATAATGAGCAGAACTGTTACATTTGTTGAGAACAGGGCCGCAATTTGAATGTAGAGTGATTAGCTGAGGGTGGCAATTTTGCAAGCAGTACACACTAAATGATAATTTGCCCTGACCAACTTGAAATCCCTTAATTCAAAATAAATATAACTGCAAGTGTATGAAACTGCTTGGATAGTGCCTACACACATGCCAGAAACTGTAGCCAATTAGTCCCTGTACCTGCAAGTGTTAATGATGAGTGAATCGACAGACAGTAAAGGTGTGTTTCACGTGTGTTTTATTTGCTAAAATATGTTGCGTAATCATGTATTAACACTCCGTGTGAAGATATTTCACGTGTTGTAACATCTTCATCCAGTGTGATATCTGAATACCTTGTGAAATCACAGCATGAGCCCACTGTGGAAAGCTATGCCCCCCCCCCCATACAAACAAAGTATCGCTCTGCCTTTGATCCAGAAGGACCTTGTGCTCGGTCTCTCCACGGTCCTGTGCGGTCAAGGAGGCAGAGAAGTGGCTCGGAGCGACAGGCTGCATTAAGAGAAACACAAGAAGGAGGAAGCCCCATTCTCTCACTCCATCACACGTCTGATCTCTTTAGTCGTCTGACTGGGGCCTAAAGTGACTTTGCTTTGATGTGGCCAGGACAAACCGGGTGTGATGCCATGACGGCTGTGCTAAGCATGTGAACGTGTGTGTTTTTTAGTCCTTGCATGTGTTTGTGTATTTAGGAGCAGAGGCTGGATATGTGTGTGTGCGTTAAGAGGGGAACGGGGCTCTTGATCGTGTGTGTTTTTGTGTGAGGGAAGGGGGGGAGGACATTCACTTTTGATTTGGCCTCAGAAGGGTGACAGGGACTTGGAGCTCTGGTGGCATGCTTTACTGAAACAATCGTCTCTGACCACAAATAAGGGATCACAGACTGTCAGCCTGCCTCCTGATGACTTTTTCCTTGCTTTTTTTTTTTTTTTTTTTTTTTGCTGTGAAATTTCATAGAGACATGAAAAGCTTTTTTTCTGCTCTGTGACATCCTGAAAGTAGGCTTTAGTTTCTGTAGCCTTGGTGAGACTGCTAATGCTTTGGATGAGACACAAAAGTCTCTGCCTCTCTCTCTTTACTTGATTGTCTGACAAGTTCATTTTATCTTACTTTCCCATCTTGTGTCAAGTGTATATTTGGAGAAAAAAAAGTGTTATAAATCAAGGCTGTATTCACACAGTAGAAGTGAGTGGGTTTTAGTCCTCTTCGTGGTCTAAGCTTGTGGGGAAAGATGGAGTAGATCTCTGAGGAAAGGAAAATCCAGGATGCACACTGGAGAGGTTTTTGTGGGTGTTTATGTAGTGTAGTAGGGGTAGCGTTGGGATTGGGGTCTTTGACGGGAGGGAATTGGACATGCTGAAATTAAACAAGCCAATTAGGCGAGGAAAGAGTTTAGAGGTCAAAGCGCACTCCATTAAAGTTCCTCTTCTCTGCCTAACTACTAACTCAGTGTGTCTCAGAGTCTGTTGAAGCAATAAATCTGATTAGACCTCTCCCTCTCTCTTTCTCTCTCAGTCCCTTGCTGTTGTTTTACCCTCCACTGATCATTGTTTTTGTTAAATTTGAGGCACCATTTAACATGACTTCGGGTGCAATTTTAGCTACGCATTCCTGTTACATACACACAAACTTACACTTGCACACTTGCCAAAATTTGAATATTCCCTTAGGAACATGGCCTCCTGTATCAGAGTGCAGTACCACACTGACATTATCATTAGCTCTTTGGACACGCATTACCACACAGAATAAAAAGTTGCACTAATGAACTTTAACAGACTTCCTCTATTCACACACACTTTTTTGTTTGGTTGTCAAGGTTTGTGCTTTACTGCATAACAAGGTTGTTCCACCCAAAATATAAAAATACTGTTTTCTCCCTTTCCTCTAGAGCTATCTAGCCATAAAGATGATTTGGGGTTTTATTTGTGCAGATTCTGAGATTTCCACTGCCACCCTGATACAATGAAGTAGAATGGAACTTTGTTTACCCCAAATTCCAATCGCCTCGATTGTATTGGAGTGGAGGTAGGAATCTCAGAGACATATATCCTTAAATTATGTGGAAAAACTGTATGGCTATGGCAGTAGAGGTAAGTGAGAAAATATGTTGTTTTTGTAATTCTACAAAACCTACTCCTTAAATTCACTGGTTCCGTTGCTGAGTAAAGTGCTCTGGCTGTCAATAGCATGTTACTTCTTTGTTCGAGTGCTTGTCATTGTTGTTACTCATTTATACTGAGACTTTAAAAATGGTAACAAAGATGGAAATGGAGATCTGGAGGACCCTGACCCATTCAGCACTTGAGACATGGTGGTTTTGTTCCAACTGCTGATTTGGTATTGATGGCTGCTGACTGCTTGCTCAGGGCTACCAATAGATACTTGCTTCAAATGTGGCTTACCGGCGTCGGCTGTACAGTGACCCTGTATTTCACCATCAACATTGGCTGGAGGAAAAAGAATGGGAGGGATATTGAGGTATTTCTCAGTGAATAAATGACTTTTTCTGTGTTCTGTGTGGCTCTGAGAAGGAGCCTATCTTATAGACTGGGCTATACAATTGAATGTGCCAGCGGCCCTGAGAGAAGAAGAGCAGAGAGAGGAGGAGGTTTTTCTCAAAAGGTGAGAGGTGAATACTCTCAATACCTCCATCAGGACAACGCAGAAAGGAAAGAATATCTCAAGGTTAGAACGCCAATAGATTTTTTTCTAAGAAGTGTGTGAGCTGGAGGATAAAAACACTTGCGTCAAAACTTGCCTTTTAAGACTCTGAGGGACGCTGTTATTCTGTATTCACATAGTTTCTCACTCCTCACAATTCTTTATTTCTGTGACTTAAAGACATGTCAGTCAAAGTGAAAGGCTGTGAGATAGCCATGCATTGATTAGATGCAGGACTATTTATTTTATTTTTTTTTTTGAGAAAGAGTGGCTTCTGCAACCGTCACCGTCACCGTCACTCCATCCGCTCGTCCACTGCTGTTCGTAGGAGGTGTGTTTGTCCAAGTGGACGTGGGAGACACTGTGGATTTATCTGATCTTACAAGCCATCAGGTTGAGCAGAGCTTTGCTAAACATGACCTGAAGTGTGCCGGCCCCCGAGCAAACGCTGCTGTCACCTTGGTCAACCCGAGCTGTCATCTCTCAGAATGGCCCATGAGAGCTGACAGCTGTGGCGTTCCCAAAACAAATCACTGCTGCGTTTGGTAACACTCTGCGTCCCCGCGATTTAGCCCTCACCAAGATGAAAGCGGGAGCGGCGGCTGCTAATGCTCTGGCTAATGCACTGACTGTGTGTGTGTGTGTGTGTGTGTGTGTGTGTGTGTGTGTGTGTGCCTGTTCATCTTCTTCCTGTGTGTTTGTGTGTGTGTATATTTGTGTTTGCCAGGGCTTATGTGGTTTCTCTTTGTTTTTCCGCCACGGTTCAACATAGCGATGCGCACATCTCCCTTTGTCTGCCTCTCCTCTCCGCTCTCTGTGGCCTTCACCTCTGTTTTGTTGAGTTCAAAATGCCTCTTGTATGTCGTCTAACCTGTACACAGCAGAAAAAACAAAAGCAATATTTTATTCACACTCAAACCCACTTATATCTTAGATAAATATTTGTGAATCCAAAAGCCCAAAGCTAAGAATCTTCATGGGTTGATAGATTGTGAAAAATCCAATCTTGAGCTTATCTTTACCTTTAATTTTGTAAGAGTAATAATAATATAGGCTAGTATCCCTGTCACAATACCATGAATCCTGTCAATTAAAACTGAAAAGTTGTATCTTCATTCACCGAGAGCTGAGCAGCTCCACAAATTGTCATTAAGAGTCTATTCTCTGTAGTTTTCAGTAAAACTTTGTGTTCACAACCTAGACTGAACTGTGCAAGATCAGAAACACTGAGGTGAAGGTTCAAGAGTGAATTTTCATCTGAACTAGACAGCTGATTGAATATTCTCACTTGAAGGAGAGATGGAAAAAAAAAATAACAAGGAACCGAGACTGTGTTTATTGATAAATTTAATGGTAAAGTGGTCTGAACTAAATGAGGTGTTTTTCTCCCTCTCAACAGTGTTACACTTTTTAACTGACATTTTTAATGAGCTTACACACACTGTATATCTCTCTCTCTTAAACACACACACACACACACACACACACACACACACACACACACACACACACACACACACACACACACAAATGAACCTGTCAGACACGGTTTAAACATTGAGATTTTTGACTATTTTTTACTGGGCTGTTTTTAGACATCAAACTACAGCAGTTGAAATGTGGTTTCTATTGATGTCATTGTTTTTATGTCACAGTCATTACTGAGATATCCTCTCCCTGGCTCATCTTTAAAGGAGTGGTTCAGCTAAATTTGCTTATTTCCCCCCCCCCTTGCAAGAAAATTAAACCAACGCTCTTAGCCAAGGGTTTGAATATAGCTGTGGCCATCATATATATGTTGCCAGAAATGGTCTCTTTCCTTTTGTTTTTACAACATTGTGTAGACGTCAGTGCTCCTGTACTCCATACTGTACATTTAGTGGTACAACATAGTGTATATACAATATTTTGATATCACATGATGTGTCTTCTTTTGTTTCCCAGCAAACGTTTGGAGGAGAGGCTTTTGTTCAGCTACACAGATGAACAACAGGAAGGAGGACATGGAGATCGCCTCTCACTACCGTCAGCTCCTCAGAGAGCTCAATGAGCAGAGGCAGCACGGCATCCTCTGCGACGCCTGTGTCATTGTGGACGGAAAGATCTTCAAGGCCCATAAGAATGTCCTCCTGGGCTCCTCACGCTACTTCAAGACTCTTTACTGCCAGGTAAGGGACTACTACACTTGGGAAGATGGGTCAAGGGAGTCTGCTAAGGACTTGTTTTTCTCTCAGATCATAGTAGTTTTGTTCTGTGTGTTTTCCTGCCGATGAAGCAATGAAGTTGTGTTACCCTGCATGAGATAAATAAACAAGGAAACAGTGCTATGAACAGTCTTTCTCATCCTTCAGGTTAAAAAAGGGGCAGAACCTCACCACCAGACTACTGTCACTCACCTGGACATCGTCACAGCAACAGGCTTCAAAGCCATCCTGGACTTCATGTACTCAGCGCACCTCGCCCTCACCAGTAAGAACGTGATCGAGGTCATGTCAGCCGCCAGCTACCTGCAGATGACAGACATTGTCCAGGCCTGCCACAGCTTCATCAAGGCTGCGCTGGACATCAGCATCCGCTCTGAGATGGCTGACGAACTGGCCGACTTTGAGATGGGAGCTGTTGCTGCTGCTGGCATAGGTGGAGGTGGAGGAGGTGGAGGAGGAGTGGGTATAGCAGGAGCAGGGGGTGTTGCGGGAGCGGGTTTAGGAGGAGGAGGAGGAGGTATAGTGGGCATGGCTTCTGAAGCCCTGGCTTCCATCATGTCCGGTCGCAGCACCTCCCCTTGGCTGGCACGCCGCACCAGCCCGGCCAACTCTTCTGGGGACTCGGCCATCGCCAGCTGCCACGAGGGAGGCAGCACGTATGGCAAGGAGGACCAAGAACCCCCAAAGAGCCATGAGAGCCAGGAGGAAGCCTGCCATGACTCCCAGCCTGCCTGGCCGCACGACTACAGGCCTGTCACCGTCAAAGAGGAACAGGTGTCCCCCGCCTCCTCCTCTCATCCCCGGGACACTCCCAGGGGGGCAGCCCAGAGCCAAGGGGAACAAGGGGCTGTAGGGGCTGCTGGAGCAGGTGGAGAGGGGCCCTGGCAACCCCTATCAGGGTCAGGGCGGAGAAAGAACAGGAAGAACAAGGACACGGTCAGACACATTACCCAGCAGGCTGAGAGGAACTGGGACAGAGAGCGGGACAGGGAGAGAGACAGGGACAGTAGGCCTGGATCTCCTCTGCCCTCCATGCTGGCTGTGGCTGGATGGAACTACAACGGACAGGAAATCCCAGGTAAGGCTGACAAACCAGCTTCTTACAGTGTTTACAGTCTTCCGTTCTTGGAAAGTGCTACTGTGTATTTATATCTAGACAAAACAGTTAATTTAGGTCATAATGAAGCAACCCATGTGTTTTTCACGTCCAAATGCTGTTTTTATAATGGATTAGTTAGTTAGATTAGTGTAATAACAACAGGTGAAAATTGGAAGGATGTAAGCCAAAGAAAGCACACCTAGTATTCTATCTTGGGAAGGAATTTACAGTGCAGATTTGATGACTTTTAAGGCTTTAGAGTTCCTCAGAGTTGCTGCAGTTTCCTAATGTTGGCGCCTACTTAGTTAGTTATCCAGTCATGTAGTTAGTAAATGACTGGTGAGATAATAAGATTAGGTAAAATAATTAGGTGAAAATGTTTGTCTCAACAGTCTACAGTTTTAATTTATACGTACTTCTCTTAAGACACTTTCTAACTAATTGAGCAGCAGTTCCGTGAAAGCGTTTAAACTGCTTTATTGACTTTGGTTAAACTCAGGTTTAACAAAGTGTTCATAATGCTTTACAGTACATATGTACTTTGAATCCTGCGTGGATATTTCGGTGCATGTCAGCCATACGCACAGTGTACTAGTGTAAAATGACCTCTTTTCTTCCTCCCGGTTGAGATTAGCGAGCTTCTACACTAACGTGTTAGGCCTAAGATGATTATCTTAAATCTTGGAGGTGTGAGGTGAAGCCTGGGTAAATGCAGATGGATAATACAATCCTCTTCTTACTGCAGTTTATGTAACACACACACACACTCCCCCACAAGCAAATGCAAACACAACACAAACACACTCAAGTACACACATATTTATTTTGAGAAAGCGTCTCTTGATCCTCAGCCTTGCAGAATTGTTTAGTGAATTCCTTTACACTAAAAACTAATACATGAAAAACACTTAACTGAGGGTGTGTGTATTTGCCTGTGTGTGAGTGTGTGTGTGTGTGTGCGCGCGCGCGTGAGCACTGGTGGGCCCAAGGCGTCGATAGGTAGATCATTAAAAGTAAGAGAAGCTAATCCTGGGCGCATTAAGGGAGTTGGCTGTGAAATGGGCACACGCGTCGCGCAGCGAAAGAAAACAGGATAATTGAATTGACCTGGGTCACCGCACGGATTACCAGCGCGTCCTCGCCATCCCTGGCTCCTCCCCCTCTCTCTGGGGTTTAGGGAAGGACCTTCTGGAAAGGGCAAGAGGAGGGAAAAAAGAGAGAGAGAGTGTGGTAGATGAGAGGGGTAATGAGAGAGAGAAGAAAAAAAGACAAGTGGCGAAGACAGAGCATCCGTACAGGCTTATGAGGGTCTGTCTGCTTACATCTAAGTGTCCTAAGTCCCAGATTTTGTGACCTGCAGTCAGACCTTATTACCGTGCCCAAGTACATCTTGTGTTGGGCTTCAGAGTCTCACACACACACACACACACACACACACACACACACACCGCATACCCACATACACCCACCAAGTAAATGCCACTATTAAGCCTGTTGGCCAGTTCCATGGTTCTGTACTGTGGTGGAGGGTAGAGTTTTAGTCTGGCTATGGTGAAGCAGCCATTACCGAGAGAGGTGTTTTCTCGCCTAAAGGTTAGAGGAAGTCTAGTGTTGCTGCTGGTGTAGACTCTCTTGCTGTTAGCCAAAAGACAACTTTTCGTCCCCGCTTTCAACTGGGTTTTGGGACTGGGCTCACAATGGAGAGGAGTGGGGGAAGGAGGAAACAAGAGTCTTTGTATTATGAGGTTATCAACTATGTGGGTCTCTGACCTTGCCATTTAGTAAGTAAAATATCAGGTTACCAGTGGGCTTATATGACGTTTAAGAGTGGTAGTGTATGACAGGCAGGATGTGTTTTACTATTGTGTGTGTTGAGTCCATTTGCAGTAGGTGGTTTCTGTGTGTTTAGTGAAGGTTTGGGGGGGGTTGATGAACAGGTTTAGTGAGGTCACTATCGGAGCCCGTACAGGGGGTGGTGTGATGTTTTGTTCATTGTGATGTCGGTAAGTTCTGCTAAATTAGGATATTTCCCTTGGTTATAAGGCAGGGTCAAAAATACACAGGATCTATGTTGGCTTATTGGCTACTTAAGTCTTAAGTCTCCTTAAGTATGGATTTTGTCACCTGCAGTTGAAGATCTGAATCAGATGTACGGGCATATGGAGGGGCCAAGATGTACGATTCTATTTAAAGTTTCTTTTTTGGGGGGCAAGGAGGTTTATTGAAGTAGCGACTGGGCTTGTCACAATGCCAGAAATGTACCAGTTGATACCAATACCAGTGAAATCTCTCCGATTCTTTATACAACGGTACAAAACAAAAACAAAACAATAAATCCCATGTACTTCAACATCCACTCCTTTTTATTAAAAACATTTGAACATTACAAAAAAAAACAACAACAGAGGCCCTTTCTCTAATCCATTGTTTTCTTATTTACTTATTTAACTAGGCTACTTAACTCACAAAGTACTTTAATCTGCTCACCAAGCTTTTCCCTTCAGTACTCTTTTCCACACACGCATACACCTACTCTGGTCTGTCTCTCTCTCTCTCACACATACACACACACACACACACACACACACACACAGAGGTACCAGTGCCCCACCTCTCTCTGTGTCTGTAGGGTTAGGGGTAACCTTTATGTCCCAAAAACCACATTCACCATTGATGAGGCGCCAGAGAGCGTCTGTCTCTGTGTGTGTCTGTGCAGAGCAGGTGCAGGTGCCGCGATTCCCCGTTACCAGCGGTGCTGACGGTACCGTAGATAAACAACATGTAGGCGTCACGTTTTCAAAATGTTGGCATCGACTCGGTACCAAAGTATCGGTCTCCCGTGACATCCCCAGTAGTGACACATTCATTCATTCATTAAGTCGTTACCTCTACTGGTGTGTGGAACAAGTTGATCCAAGCAACCAAAAAGCAAATTAATTGATTTTTAGTGATAGAGAAAGCAATGTTTGCTTGATCAATGACTTTAACGATTGTTCGATTATCAAAATGATTAATTCATTTCCCTGTTAATCGACTAATAAACAGTATTCACAGCAGCAGAGACACAGGTAGTACAGCAAACAGCAGCTTTAACATTGCTTCCTTCTCATGACAAAATATATTTAAATAGCTGTATAAACACTATAAAGTATTCAAATAGATATTTCTGTTGCACAAGTAAGAAACAAATGAGTTACAGCAGTTGTTCCTGCTGTGCAAGAGCTACGTATGGCGGTATATGAAAAATTCATATTGTATGTGAAATTAAAACCGGTGCAGCAGTTCATCTGGTATATCGGCCAGCACCAGGCACACGGTGTAATTAATAACACTAACGATGGCTCTGTTCCATTAAGCTATGACAGGCACAATGTCAGGACCCTGAATGTGACACAGCTGAATAGAATGCAGCCTTCATTAACGTCATTAATTACGCCCGTGCGTTTCTTGTTATGACACATCAAGATGTCTGTTGTGAGGGAGGTATATTATTGATTGATTAACTGATCATTTCAGCAGTGTGAGTCCTTTTTGTGTTTAGTAGTAGATCTACATTTAAGTTTTATGTTAGTATCTGGGAGGTAGGATTATAATCCAATAGGTTTGTCTGTGTGTGTGTGTGTGTGTGTGTGTGTGTGTGTGTGTGTGTGTGTGTGTGTGTGTGTGTGTGTGTGTGTGTGTGTGTGGTTGGGTGTTGTTCCATGAAGTCTGGTTGTAGGTTTCCATGGAAGAAAATGGTAGGAGAAAGGGCACCTTCAGTCTGAGATTAGCTTAATTGCTTCATTCTTTATTGATGAGAAGTACCTAGACACACACTCTGTCTCTCTCTCTTTCTCTCTCTCTCTCTCTCTCTCTCTCTCTCTCTCATTCATCAGTGATCAGTGTTCATGCTTTCCTATTAGAAACGCTTATATTACATACAGCACAGGGGGCTGCTTGACTGTGGATTTTGCTGGATTATTCTGTAATATAAGGATAATATATGGCTGTGTAAAGGCTCAGCGTATTAGCGCAGAGCCGTTTCAAAGCGTTTGTATGAAAATGCTGTGTGCCTATGTTGACATAAACAGCTGCAGGAATTAGGATTTGTTTTCTTTAGATCCCCTTCTCTTGCAAACATCTGCTGTGTTCACTTGATGTCATTATTGAGGCCACTAAGCACTCAACTTCCTTTTCTCTCTCTCTCTCGCTAACGCTTGATCTCACTCTTTCTTCCGCTCACCTTGTCTGCTGACACAAATATTTGAAATTTGCATGTGAATTAGGAAAAAGAAATCAGCACCGCTTGCATTGCAGTGATCTGATCGTGTGGGTATATTTTTCTGCACAATACCATATTAGAGGTGGCAGTTTTTGAGGAGGGGAGTTTTAAATAGTCTCTACCTCTCCTGCTTATGTCGTAAACCTTAAAATAATTACCTGAAATTATTTTTAGTTTGGCCCCCGCTGCTTCTCCCAGACCTGGATTAAAAAAGCATCTGCAAATCAAAGACAAGAGTGTTTTGAAATTCAAGCATCAAGCTTTTTTAAATAATTCAGTACATTCTTCTTTGATACCTCATACCAGCCTCTCTTCTTGTAATCCATGCAGTGCTGAAACTATGAGTAGATTCATTCATTAGTTGATCAACAGAAAATTACTTTTTATATTTGATTATATATTTAATTATTTGGACTGTTTTCTCTCTGTTTTATTTGATTGTGAATTGAATATTTTTTTGCTTTCCGTCTGTTGATCGTAAGCTTAAGAGCTTGAGATGAGCATTCGTCAGTAATTTCTGACATTCTGTTGACTGAAAAAATTATTATGAGATTAACAGATAAAGAAAAGAATTGCACAATTCATCCTAAATTCCGTGCTATCTGTTGTATTTTCTGACTAAATACCATAAATACACCTTTATCGCATGCACACTCAGTTTTAGAGACGGTATTGACATATGTTATGTCAGGTTGCATCCTTGCTAAAATACACTCCT